GGACCAAAATTCCTTGGTAAGACTTTGTGTTTTTACAGTGTATGCTGTCTTAAATTGGCTCCTGCTTATGTTATACAACAAAACATCTGTCTTCGAAGAGAGACCGACCAGCCAAGAGTCAAACTCCCTAACGTCAGTCTGAACCCCCTAAAACAAATCTGCAAACATCAAACGACACCCTGTGTTGACGGAGCTCACTCCCTTTACCCTGAGCTTCACCCTTGACCCGGCCCAAAACGCCCCAACAGCAAACACTTGAAGGCTTCACCCTTGACCTCAGACCCACAGCGCAACCTTTCTCTCTGGTTCTTCCATAATCTGAACCAAACAGCTGCAGGCGGGCAGAAATATCTGCAAAAATACAAAATCTTACGTTGTGTTTTTGTCGAGTTCCTATAGTGGAAATGTGTTAAAATTACAGAAAAATAACTTTTCAGTGATACATAGGAGCTTGTTTTAAGTCAACAAGTCTTGATTATTAATTTAAAATACCATACTACTTAAAGTGGCAGATTTTTAAGATTTTGTTTTTGCAATGATAAATTCAGCCAGTTAAACAAAGTAATTTGTGAGTTTAATATGTACACTAAAGAAAGTCTCTAATTTACGGTAAAATATGTATTTATACAGTAAAATACCACAGTTGCCAGAACTTTAGTTTCTTTTTTACAGTGTAGGTGTATCATCACATTTAAAGATTATTCCATTAAAAGACGAAAATAAAATACAAACTGCCTCCTAATATATATATATATATATATATATATATATATATATATATATATATATATATATGCATCTGTTTATTAAAAAATCCCTTTAATTATATAATCTAAAACAATAAAACAGTGTTACACTGCCTGCCATGTTCTCTTTTGTTTACATGTGAGAATAAAGCTCTGTTTTAATAAAAAGCCTGGAGTCGATGACTTTTCAAGATGGATGCCATCATAGGAACCACATGTGGCTGGAAGTGGAGGGATGTCACGGCCTGTCCTCTCAGTTTACCTCAGACATTCTTCGCTTCAACTGATTCCCTTAATGTCCAAACCAGAGTCACAGAAAATCACGAGCAAAGTCGCAAAATGGAAGGCTATTAAATATCCTGATGGATGTGATCGGGACAGATTTTTGTAAGAATCAGGATAGAAAGAAAGTACACACGTTTTTGGGTTTTGTGCAGCAACATTCAGTGTTTAAGAGCTAAAAACAGCTTGGCTAACCCAATTACAGGCTCTTGTTTTACTTTTTTGCTGAGTCAGCACACAGATTCAGTTATTCTTTAAAAAATTATAGTTTATGTCAACATGTTCATTTTAAACTGCAAATGAATGAAATAAAAAAACAAGTAATTAATAAATGATTACACTGGAAACAACTGATCAGGCCTGAAATCTGGGATCGATTCTGATCTGAACGTTCAGAGACGCATAAAGACGATTACAAAGTCGGTCTTCTATCTCCTGAAGAACATTTCCAAGGTTAGAGAAACAATGTCTTAGCAAGTTCTAGAAAAAACTGATCCATGCTTTTATCTTTAGTTGAACTGATTACAGCAACAGCGTCTTCACAAGTCTGCATAAAATAAAAAATAAAAAAAATCAATCCTCCAGCTGCAGCTGATCCAGAACGCTCAAGGTCAGGTTGGGTTGCTAGGCAACGACTGGGTTCCGCTGGGGTTGCTAGGTAACGGTGAAAATCAGTCCCTGATTTTTGACATTACATTCAGGAGGTTTTTGAAACAGCTCACTTCCCAGACACCAAAAAAACATTAATTGGTAACACTTTATTTGAAGGGGGTTGAATAAGACTGTCATGACACAGTCATAAACATGACATAACATGTCATGAACATGAATAAGTCTTCATGAATATTTATGACTGTTGTCATAAAGCATCATGCGGTAAATTATGACACTTTTAATACAAAGTTGACATTATTCAAAATGTCTTTGTTATGACAACCTGACATTAAACAAGAAATCATTACTGATATAAATTTGTTATAAAAGTATTACTGATTTCACTTTAAAAATGAGGTAACTTTATGTTATTAAAGGTAAAGTTTAAACAGTAATGGTTTCCTGGTTAATGTCAAGCTGTCATAACAAAGACATTTTGAATAATGTCAACTTTGTATTAAAAGTGTCATAATTTACCGAATGACGCTTTATGACAACAGTCATAAATATTCATGAAGGCTTATTCATGTTCATGACAGGTGTTATGTTTATGACAGTGTCATGACAGTCTTATTCAACCCCCTTCAAATAAAGTGTTACCCATTAATTTATTCCCAAAAACCTTCTGTTTTTTTTTTCTCTTTTTATTCCTCGAACGGGCAGAAAACCAAATGGAAAAACAAAAAACATGCAAAATATGATTTTTTTTTTAAAACAGCGGCAGCTGAACTCATCACACCCAAGACACCCAAGATGAACATACTCTGTCATTCGCTCCTACAGAAAACCATTTTTCAGCAGCAGATGCAGAAACACTCTATAATTTGCTTTACTTAAATGTCACTAATCTTGGTAAATATGACTCTCCGTGACACAAACAATAGCTTTGCAACCACTGTGCACTGGTCTATATGGAGCTTCTGAATCAAACAGAGTGCATGTTCGTGCATTTGTTTGTCCCTGCAATGCAAAAACATCCATAAATAATGATCTCATGAGAAGAAATCATAAGAAGAAGAATGAGAAAAAGTTAAATTTACCAAATAATGGGCAGACTGTCAGATTCTGTCAGTAAGTGTTGTTTTTCACTGGAAGTTGGTCTGTTTCTGTCGCTCAGTAGTTTGGTTAGGTTTACTTGTGAAGGCCTGTGATCACACAGCCTTAAAGACTGTGATTAGGAGGAAATCTCCAAGCACAAAAACACACTGAATCACACTCAGCACCACAGCAGACACCAAATGCGGGCCAACCTGCAGGAATCGCTAAACCAGCCGTTTGCTGTGCTTACATGCACATGTTTGCACAAACAGGAACAAGGCACTGGAAACACACACTTGTTTTTACGCTCAAACCGTGAAATGACATGTCTCTGGTTGCTCTCTAATTTCCAACCTTGCGATCCAATTTGCGATGAAGGATGGCTCATCCCGCCACGGGGATCCTCATCCCAACAAGCTCATTCCTGACCGGCTGCGTCATGAACTCCAGCTGAGCGGGGTTGAACCTGAAATAGGAATGCGAGTCTCATTCCCAAAAAATGCTACAAAAAGCTGTGTACACGGTCAGCATACCGACTTTTTTAAGATGTCAAGTTAAAGCAAAATATCAAAAGAGAGTCTGAGCAATTAATATTAATGACACGTATTTTTGGTCTAGTTTCTACTGTAAATATCTCAATACGGCTAAAATAAAACAAAACTAACTTACAAGTAACTTTTCACCAAAATATAAGAGTCTTAAAGCCAATAATTCCTTAATGTTAATAAAAAAGTGGTAGTTTCATTTGGAGATAATTTTATAAGTTTTGTTGTAAGTGAAATAATCTGCCAGTGGAACAAGAACGTAGAAATTATTTACTTAAAACAAGCTCCTTTAGTTACTTCTCAGTTGCTTTTGTCTTATTTCACGTGCAATACAAAATATTAATATTTTGTTTTTTGCAGTGTAAGAACTATGGATCTATCCATTTTATCTCTGGCGTAGTCTTGGTCAAGTTGGCTAAAATATTGGATTATTTTTCAGTTTTTTGTTTTTCCGTTTTCTTTCAGGAAGTGGCAGCAGGATGAAGTTTTTTAATTACTTATTGCATGAATAAATTTATTCACGTGTGATTTTAATTGTTTATTTATTAGAAACACTGCAATTAAAAAATTGTGCGTTTTCAATGTTAGCTAAATATCAACAATATCAACAAAGTTTTGCTCCCATTTGTGATGGAAGTAGCTTTTCAAGCTGTTGAATTTTTAGACCATACGATCTGAGCTGTGCGTTTTTGAATTATGACACTGTTGTAGCTCCATATATGTTGATGGCGATAAAGGTCTCATCTCTATAGCAAAACAAGTTGAAAAACAACAAACTTGGATGTTAAACCGCAGTTTTGTGATGAAAAAGAGATTTAGTATTGACATTTTATAACTGGGGTCTGCAGGGCACCAACATGGCCGACCTTCTGTTCCCATGGACTTTAACTACAGGCTGTGGCAGAAAATGAGCACCTTGAGGCGGCAGCATGGCGACAAGCGCCAGGGAGAGCCGTGATTGGCCGGCTGCTGACGGGTAAGTGTGATGATTGGTGAGGGCCGTCAGTCAGGCTGTAATTTGCAAAGTGGAAATGTAGGTGACTGAGGAATATATGTTTGTTTGAGCTAAGTTAGGTCATGGCAGACATGCTAAATATACGCATGGATCTTAAATACAGCTTTTTCTCTCCCTCGTTTTACCTCACATCTTTCTGTAATCATGACATTTATTCCAGGATTTCTTTCTTAAATCTTGATTTAAATAACAGAACTGTTTATTAGACGCTTTTACCAATAAATCTCTCTTAATATGTTTTTACATTTTTAGATGTATTCATGTCAAATTTTCTTTTCATTATCTGCATTAAATATCAATAATAGTGATACCAAGTTAGTATCAGTATCGACTCAATACTAGTGTGGTAAGATCAATATTTCAGTTTCAGATTCCCTCTTGAAGTTATATTAAATTTTTTGTTGTAGTTTCTCACTTCTTCCTCAAAAAAGTAGCTGAAGGCATCCTCTTTCATTAGCTATTATTATGTTTGCAAGGTTGATGCTGTGTTGATCTGCAGTGAACACATTCAGATACGTAATAACACAGAGTGTGTTGATCTGCCTGTAAACCGAAAAGCTTTAGCAGCAGAAGTAGAGTTCCTTTCTCTGAGAGGAAACAATGATTGGAAAAGAGGAAGTGTCTCTTCATTTCCATTTGCAGCCTGATGATCGCCGTCCAGCTGCAGCGCTAACAGACATGTAGCTACACGCACACACGCACGCATACAGATTCCCACACCTGTTGTTCTGTTGCATCCAGTAGCTTTGATGCTGGGACACTGACGGGTATCATGGTGTCGCAGCAGCGTCTCTGGCCCGGCTGTACATGGCCCGTGGGATCCAGGGTGATTCTCCTTACGCCTGCACAAGGAGGAAAACGATTCCCTGGAGTGAGTGTCCTGCCCCCGGCTCTTCACTCCAGAGGACGCCCCTGCAGTCCTCACCTCTGCTGATCCTCAGGAGAACCAGAACAGAAACAAACCAAATCAGCTCTGCATGTTATCAGTGACCAGCATGCAGCTCAGCTTGTTTTACTCTCAGGATTAGCAGGACTTTTTGGCGCATATGTGCTCAAAGACCCTCGGTTCATATACATGATTTGGCTGAAAGCGGCAAAAAGATTTTTTTCCCATATTTGGAACTTTTTCACATCTTTTCACCCCCAAAATAAACCCAGTTTTAGTTACTTCTAATGGGGTTAAATTGGAAACTTATCTGATTGTTTTCAAACCGTCTACAATCTGAACAATAATAACCAGTACATGTAACTAGTTTGGTAGTAACTAGTTACATGTACTGAATTACATTTACTTCAATAACGTTATTGAAAACATTTAATTTTAGGAGTATTTGTACTTTTTGCTTTTACTTGAGTAATTTTATTATGAAGTATTTCTACTCTTGGCTGAGTAAAATTTCTGGATTTTCTACCCACTTATTGAAAAACAAACATGTTTTAACCAAACATTCATCAGATAGACACAGATGTATTTTTTTTTAAGTTTCATAAGTTTTTATTAAAAGAAACTGATCTGGAAACATTTATTTTACCTGATCTTGTTTCAGTTTACTAATGAACTGCTTGCCTAATCACTTTTTCTGTTTTTACATTACTTTTCAAGGCACAACATATTTTTTCTTTGATTTTATATGAAGAGAATTTTCTATTACCCTGTGTATGAATTATAAACAAACTTTGTTTTCTGTAATCGATCTGTTCTGAAATGTAGCATTTAGCATGCTAACCGCATGTTTATAGTCTGTAACTGAGTTCTTGGGTTTTTTCATGATTTGAACTTTCCTGGTTGGAAGATTGGAAGCTTCCATGAAGTTTTTGTGCTATTTAGTAATCAGTTAAATGTGAATTGCCTCATAACTCTTCCCATGTTGATGGGAAGCAACAATTGCTTGGAGACATTGTTTCTCCAATATCTGCAAGAAGAAGAAAAAAAAATTATAAAAATGTCTTTTATAATTTTTTATTATATATATTTTTTTGTATTAAAATTATTTAAACAAAAAAAATACAAAAAATTTAGAATTTTTATCTTTTATAAAAACAAATTTTTATAATCTTTTTAAAAATAATTTTGTTAAATAAAAGTTTTCAGATTTTTTATAATTTAATTTTAATTTTAAAAAAAAGGCAATTATTTTTTATAAAAATGTCATTAATTTCATGGTTTTATAATTTTTTAAAATAATTTATTTTAAAAAATTTTTATAAAACTTTTTTTTATAAAACAAAATTTTATGAATTTTGTAATTTTCTTTACAATTTAAATTTTTTGGGAAAAAAATAATCTTTTTTCAAAGAAAAATTATAAATTTTTAATAAAAAAATTTCATGATCTTTTAAAATACTAAAATTAATAAAAAATAGCTCAGAAATGTATTTGTATTTCAGGCACCATCCAGTAAAACACAGCTAAACCTGTTGGCCTCATTCAGCCGAGTCGATATTGTAGCGTTCGCTGCCTTAGCGTCACTTAACATGTTCTGAGTAAAAACGTGGCGGCTCACACACACAGACATGCAAAGGTAATTCAGGAACATCAGCATGCCTGAACATAACCAGATTTATGACTTGTGTGGTTCAGAAAGAGTGAAACTGAATTCGTCTGACGAAGCCGCATTGCAGAAGAAACAGAGCGACACGAAGGGGCAAAAGAGACAGAAGGTGAAACTAAGATTTTAAAAAACGAGCCTGTATATGTGGGTTTGTGGTTTCAGCAACAGTCAAAACCAATGTATGTTTCATATGAGAGAGGAAAGGCCATGAAGGGAAACCGACAGAGAGAGATGAGGAGGAAACAGAAAGAGCATGAAGTGGACAGTAGAGCAAACAGAGCAGCCATTGTCTCCTGGCCTGGTTAACATTTTAATTACGGAGCAAAATCCAGAGTCCTGCACAAAGGCGCCATGATTAACGATCCTCGATGCTCTGGGACAACGCAGCAGCCCGGGCTGGGCTGTAAATACTTACATTTACTCATTTAGCTGAGTAACGTTTTAGAAAAAAATACTTTTAGGAGTATTTTTACTTTTACTTGAGTAAAATTTCTGTATTGAACATATTTTAACCAAAAATTCACCAGACACAGACTCATACTTGAAGTTTCTGTAATAATTTTCTGAGTTTTATTTTTAAAGAAACTTATTTTTGAAAAATTTTATTTTGTATAATTTTATTATTTTTGTTATGAATTATCGTAATTTTGTCCTTAAAATACAAATATTTCCTCTTAATTTTATATTTTAGTCCATCTGATGATGTAATTTTTAAATAAATTGATAATTTGATCAGTTACTCCGTACTTGAGTAGACGTTTAACCAAATACTTTTCTACTTTTGGGTAGCTACGTTTTATTTTTCCTCGAGTAAAAATATGTTGAAGTATTTCTACTCTTAAATCTTTGGTTGCATTACTCACCTCTAACTGCTGGTAGCTGGACACATATGGAGACCTGATGAGGACAGGAGGGACATTCATTCACACAGATGTCCACAAGGAAGAAGATATAAATCATTTTTTCTTCTCTAGGTTACGGCAGACGTTCAAACAACCTGAAAGCAGCTAAGCAGTTAAGAAACGGCCAGACTGCAACTGACTAAGCTGATTATGAGTAAACTGTGTTTCTATCTGCATAAAAACCAAAGGAAAGTTATGATTGTTTCAGGAAAGTTTCCAGAACTGTTACTGTGCTGCAAGACTTTGTTTAAAACCAAGAGTGGAGGCCTGTTAAAATAACACACCCAAATATAATTTAGTTTTTCTGTATTTCAATAATCTTGGTATTAAAAGAAAGCCAACGCATGAACCAAGTGTAAGTATCACAGCAGATTGTATAGTTTATAACTCAAGCTACAAACTTTTGGAATACCATAGATCCGCCAGTGGACATTATCTGTGCAAAGATTACAAAGGTTTTAGTAAAAATATACGCAAGGTACTTTACCTTTGGCACAGACTGGTGAAAAACTGGAGGTTTCTTGTCTTTTTGCTTACTAAAAGTTTAAAATTGGTTGTTTTTAATCTTTATGAAAACCCAAATTTTTGTGTAGTTATAATAAAGCATTAAGAAATTCACATATTTGACTCCAAATGAAGTGTATTTTTTGGAAATCCAGTGTAAAAAAAAAAAGAAAAAGAAAGAAAGAACTACAAATTTAGGCCCAATTTAAT